ACCTCGCATCTGTAAACCGACTTGCGTTTTCTTTATTCGTCCGATAGAAGGGATCACGTTGGTATTCTGCTGCAAAACCAAATAGGAGACACGTTCACCAGCAGCTCTCGAACGTCTTCTATGGGCGCATTATGATCACTCGTGCATTTTCTAGTGAATAGCAAAAGTAATTTTCACGGGCCAAATGGTGATCAACATTTTGGTCAATATAGCCATTGTTGGTTTCCGAAGTTCGTTACTATACTGAAGAGCAAATTCTCCGGAATTGCTGATCTTTCATATGAATAATCCAATACACCGAGTAAACGAGTGCCGTCGATAAGGGTTCCGATCTGAATTGCTTGTCATAAATGGCTGTTTAAATGAAACGCAGTCAAATTTTCACCGAGCTTCCCTCATCAACATTGTCAGCTCGAATTTGTGACGAGATTTAATGCGATATAGCCATGCAGTTGATCCCGGATGGACGAGTGTGATTTATGCATCAGGGTCGCCTTAGGCTTCTGATGTAATTCCTTGAATATAACTGTCAAATCCCTTAGCATTTGAAATAGTAAGTTTAATGGCGCATCTTATATACGATACAAACCGAATCTCAATCGGTCTTGGAACAATGTTCAACTTCTGATAAGTCACCGTGGATTGCCGAGAATTTTGTGCACCTTTATATCAACATTGAAGATCAGACATTGGAAAGATACTAGAATAAAATGATGCAGTGATGGGAATTTCGAAGCAGTTTGTCGAAATGCTTGTCTCAAATTCTGGCGCGCTCAACGAATGCATTCAGACTCATGTTCGAGAATGTTTCTTCTCCTGTTGTCTAGCGACAAAGGCGACCAGAAAACGAAGTAACGGCAGATATGAGACTTCAGCAATTCGCAGTTCCTACTCAAGAGCTGCATTCACAAACGTCACTGTCATCGTGAAAGCTATGTGAAGGGAAACTCGTCAGAAAATGTCAACCAGCTTAATCTAAGGAACGGGCTTGCGCAATTATCAACTTACTGTCTGTTGCCAATTTGGCCTCGACCGGCACATCCGTTTCCTTCAAATGCTTTTTCGCACCAAAGTTGATCAGGTCCGGATCTTGAGAACACAAGGCGAAAATAGTGGGATCAATCAATAATCTCAGTATCACTCAGACACGGAAAGCATTTTGAAATGAATTATGTATTACCAAAAACAACAATCACCCTAACAATGGTTACCTGTTTACGAAAGTTTAGGCAGTTCAGTACCGGTGACGCACTGGTTAAATATCCACACCGATTTCACGTCTGATCAATGAGAAATTGAAATTTCCTGAGATCCAATCACTGAAACTCATTTTCATGACTGGAATACAGATTATTTGGTAGTAAACTATGCCATCTTTTCCTGTTTTCAATTAGAATTGGTTTATTGGAGAGAAAATCGTGCTCTCGGTTAGCATTTCACAAGCACTCAGTTTTCCCGTTTTGCGACACTGCTCGCATCATTGTGATCAAGCAGTGATCGAGGAGTACAAGCCCATTTACCAACAAGCCAGAGATGCTAACTCCGAGACACTGTCCTGATCAGAATGACGTTTGTGATGGACAAAATGTGGTGTTCACAAGGATCTATACCCCACCGGATCTGATGGAGTTAAGTGTGGTTTCCCACTACAAATGTCACTTGTTCTTGCCATGTCTCACAGATGGCGAAGAGGGTCCGTGTGACAGTATGCTATGCTATGCTCTTCGGTTATCTTCGCGCTCAAGTGAACAGTGATTACAAATTACTCATGATATCCCATTTTATCGGACAGCTAATTGATGGCTATGGTTTTGGGAAACTATTTGAACAACTCACCGTCATATATCCGCCACTCTTGATTATTCGATTTCTCACTGTTACCTTTCTCTTGAACATTCGAAGGGGACGGTTCGCTGGTGAGTGCCACTGATCAAAGATTGTACAAGATTTCAAACACAATAATATGGACATCTTGATCGCGAGCAAATTCGGTTTTCAAAATGGAACACTCTCATTTTATCTCGAAATTTTGTAGTGTAGTGTAATAAAGTATCAGTCTCCGGTGTACGTCTGTTTCGTCGCCTAATAGTAGTGGCTATTATATGTCAGATGATAATCAAGTAGAATGTGAAAAAGACTAATTATTGTGCTTCGAAAACTAGCACAGTATTACGCCCATAAATTGCTGAGTTTTGTATATATATATACGATTAGTTTGCGCCTCTGATCTCATTGTTGAGTTCCTTTGAGCCACGTTCACAGTAGTCAATCATTTTGAATCGTCTCACTTTCCTTTTTGATCCACGAGTTTATGCTGCTTTGCTCTATAGATTTCTGGCATTATATACCTCGGATGAATCGACTCAGGTGTTTATATTCCGTCGGTCTCGAACTGTTGACTTGTCGTCCACAGAGTTATGAGAATTGTTATTCCAGATTATGAAGGAGCTGTCGAAGAGAAGAGTCCCCACGATTTATCTGATCACCTACGAAGGGGTCCATATATTACGGTTAACGAAACGGAATTTGACTGATATGAGATGTGAATGAAATTTGGAAATCTGCATTAGTTGGAAATCGAGAAGCGTACCGAACTGAAAAGCTTTTATTACAGGAAGGTTGACTCAGATAAGCTGCACGCAGATTGCAAATATCATGTAACCTATATTGATGCGTCTTAATACAAGATCAGTCCATTATACTCAAGTTGAGTTCAAACTCAAGTTGTGAGCTAAATCCTCCACGGTAAAAAGACAATCAAGATGGAATTCAAAACTCCTTCACAACAATGAACACCAAGCTCACGGAGAGCTGACGCAAGATCAATCGAATGGTACCCATACGGGATCGTTATTTAAAGGCAGTGTTCGACCAACGAACGGCCGCAAGGAACGCAGAATCATGAGGGAGCATTCGCAAAAATGGTGAAGGACAAAAGTGGTGGCGTATTCACAGACAAATGACGTGATCCATATGCAGAAAGTTGAAGGTCCTCCGGTGTGGCCTCATAGCTCAGCTGGTAGAGCAGGTAGAGCACTCGCGGTACTAAAGCGAGGGTAGTGACCATGCGTGGGTTCGAATCCCGCCGAGGCCAAAGGCTTTTCACATTTGAATCACCTGAAAAAACATATCGCTCAATGTCTCTAACACTCTGGTATGCGGATCTCGTGGACCCCAACCTCGTCCAGCGGCTGAAATCTTCACCCATTCACCCGTCTGATGTGGTCGCATCTTCGGCCTAATAAATCCATCTTGCATTGCTCTTGGTTCATTGAAGCACTCAAGCCATCGCATTATGCCAAGATGCAGCCTTCTCGTGATCGACAGTGTATTTGACGAATTGTCGGCTACAAATTACCATAACTGTGTCATGCTATCGACTTGCTATGCTGTAGACGCATCTGAATACCGTCGATTTCATGTCACGCAAGGATATGCAGACTGTTCTATTTTGGATACAATGTGTTTGAAGCTCGGAGTCTCAAAAGCGGGGTGGAGCACTTCAAGACACAGGTTAGCCTCTCCAATTATTGGACAGGTAAAATCGATTGAGATGCATTGAACATTTTTCTCAACGCATAGTCGGGTTTTACTGCTTTAACTTCGCCACGTTAGATCATAAGTGGACAATTAGGATGTTGAAACTTTGCTCTCATTTAGGTGTACTCTACTCGGTGATATGGGTGGTTGAATCTGTGTAATATTTGCTTCTAAGATAAAATGTAGGCTAAGAATTACAAGGTATGCAAATACAAATAAATTGCACAATAGATTCTCCTTCAAAATGGGTTTCCGAAGTGACCGTGCCAACCGTGGTACTATAGGTTTTATCCTAAGAACACCCAAACTGCTTGTGTTGGTCAAACTTCTCAGCTTATACAAAACGCTTCAAAAGCAGATTCGCGAAGAGCAGACTGTGTTTTACTCTGGTCATGACTGCATCGATCAAATCCACACAATCGAAAGGCTGTTAGAACACCACCATACTTTCCAAAGACAGCCGACCATCATGCTCCTAGACATTCAAGCGGCCCTCAAATCTGTAGACATTACGGCAATTTAGGAAATTTGTTTAGATAGTGAGTAGGTGAAGAGCATGGATCAATCCTCAAGAAGTTGTATCCCCTCAAAGAAGATCAAGTGAGGGCCCACGACCAGCCTTTAACCTCTCTAGTGTTCCCCGATATGGGTCGGCAAGCTTATCCAGCATCCCGTTTTTTACCAAGTTTGCGATAGAGCATGTTCCGGTCTTCTGAATGATGAAGTTGAAGTATTTCAAGAAAGCAGACTGTTACACGTGGAACGTATCGACGGAATGGCAGTGCTGAGTGAAAATTCAAATGCAGTGCCATATGTTTTGGACCACTTGGCGATTGAGATACCCACGTAGGGTATGTTATTTGCGATCCCCAATATAAGGCACTTTTGAAAAACCAATAGGACCCTGCGCCCGCACTCACCCGTTTTGGTGGTCAGCTGAACAAATTCAATGTCTACAAGTACCACTGTATGTTGGTAACGGATAGACGTTGTGTTAGATATTTCATTACATCATGAATAATGAGAGCTAAAACAGCTTTCGCAAACTTGCGACACCTGTGGCATCACCATGACATCCGACATTGTCTAAAGGGAATGTGCCAGATGGTTCAAACTGTGAGAAATCACTGGAACCCACAGGAAGACTAGTAGATTGAGAACACGATTGATAATATGATTCATCATGCAGCTTCAACGCTCAAATCACCATTGAAATCCATGGAAGCACTCTACAGCTATTTCATCCTTGTTGGGACCCATCAGCAGTGCACATTATAATTCATCATGCAAATGCAACGCTAAACTCACCATTGAAAACCATGGAAGCGCTGTAACGTGGGGGCTTGGTGGATGTGCACTGCTGATGAGTCCCGACAAGGATGAAACAGGGATTTCAACACAAAGCATAGCCTTCGGTATTATACAGCTTGTAACCATTTCAGAAATACGAGTCAAAACTCCTACAACTCATTGTCACTCGGAGCACCTGGATATAATTTCAAAGATAAGTTCAAAGCAAAGGTGGTGCTTACCAGATTCAGTGACTGATTGATTGGTGATCACGTTTCTTTCCTGATCAAGAGGGCTTGCTTTCGTGGTTCCCTCAGTTCGCCCTGAGGGTCTTTTTTTGTCTATGTCATGGTTTTAAACAAAATTTATACATCATTAGGCATGTTTTCGTTGGTCATAGAATGGTTCCCTTGATGTCCGGAAAATTAAACGTTATGGTGAAATAAGAATACAACAATTGCAAAGTAAGCTCTCTGGGATGTGGACAAACACAAGCTCACGTTTATTTGATTCTGGAATCAATAAAGCTACGTCTGTATGCGTGCAAAAAGTAAGAGTTGAAGGAGAGATATATCTCGCTCTGTGAGTATGAAGAGAAGACAATGGGGATGATTAGTTATTCAGTTTCGGCCTATAAACGCCCATAAGAATGATCGGATTATGCAAAGGGTACTGGTCACCACAACGTTCTGTTCTATCACAGTAGACTGTGGGCCGCGTGAATTCTAGTGTTTGATCTAATTTTTACTGCTCACAGTGTGCAGGTTTTAGAAGGCAGTTGATAAATGTTTCGGCATTTGCTAGTGTTCAAAACAGAATTGATTCGGACAGTCATTGTAGAACAGTAGAACACTGTATGGGCTGGTTGCAAACTGATTGAATGCTCGTTTTTTACCAAATTCCCCAACAACTGAGCTTGGTGCACCTCATTTTAATTAAGTTTCACAGGTTGGTGGTCACCGCAGTTCATCAGGTATACTTCTCATGTACTCTTCTGTCTATCCGTTTCATCTGTTACTTATACACTCCGACAGCGTTTCTTTACTTAAATGCAGTTTGTGAGTTGAGATTTGAAGTGGATGCTCCTCTCAAAAAAACTCACGAAGGCCCCACTGCGATGATTCGCTGATAGTTGCATGTGAGTGAGACACCACTAACCTTGAGAACGAAGATAATGAGGTCGCGAGTTTTTATTTTCGATTTAATTAGGGTCTATAGATGGGCGGACAAACAGCCGCGAAACCGGTCATATATTTCCGCGAATCTCTGTCCACCCATCAGTAGATAATCCAGAATTAAGGTGATACAGTTTTCCGCCGCAGATTTGTCCTTCTCGAAGTTAGCAGTGATTGACTCATATAGAACTATCAGCAAATCACTGCTGTATTTTCCCCCGTGGGTTTTTCCAAGAACAGCATTCACTCACAATCCTGATACACAAATATGATTGTCCTTGCAGGCCCAAACCAACTTGGATAGCGTTCTTTGAGGTAATCCCGGAGCTGCTACTTAGTTCAAACTACGCCTGTGGCACCACTGGTATGCCTAAAGTGGTAAATGACCAACAAAGGTAGCTTTTCTTTAATTTGGCATTACCACCTCAATGGTTTGATAATCGCGGCAACAGTCCCTCCATGGCTGTAGAACTCGTAATTGTTCATAAGCGGAGATAGTGCACTCAAATAAAAAAACATTCTTGAGCCTTTCTGACAAAGTGACGGTTAAAGATTCGCCTAAAATTAGAATTTCGGTGAAAAAAATTACATCCTGGTTTAATGTACAGAGAGTGCATGTTCGCATGATGGTGAGAAACGAAGCAAGTGTAGAAACTAGTCGAGACCACGAGAATTCAAGCCGGCGAGAATCACATACTAAAATTTCGTTTTTTCAATGAAGTCAGTGCGGCTATGTACGAATGGTCGGAATAACCTACCCGTAGCAGGAGTGTTACAACGAAAGAATGCAGTGAAGATTGTTCGTATTTTGGAGCACAGTGATCTTTGCACGACCGACAGTTAGTTGCACAAATTTTATCAATACCACAATATTAGCTCAAGACCATTAAACAATGAGGTCATATAAGTCTAAATGGAAAAAAAGTCAAAATGGATGGGATGTGTCCTTTGCTTGTGCTAAGTTAATGGTCCGAAGATCATTCTTAATTGTGATGAGAATGATCATCATTTTAGGACGGCCCCGGCTTGCGCCTGTTTTGTGAAGAGTGATCCTTACAACGACATTCGAAAGTGCATGGGAAGTGTAGCGGTTTTTACTCGCAAGCAGAGAAATTGGGGGAAAACTTGAACAATTATTCTTCCGCAAGCACAGGAGTCCACTGTGGTTCTGTCATGTATTTCTGGCCCCTTGGGAGTTAGTTGTCACGCTACCGTGCGAGTGTGGATGACTAAGGACAAATTCCAATGGCAGACTAAAGAAATCAGTAACCAAATGTTACCGGAGTGAAGATCAATTATTTTTTCTACACATAACTTTTCAGTCCACCTCAGCTTGTAACTAACCAGTGCAAATTTTGGTATTTTTCCCACCAAAGACACAGGTGAACGTTCAGACTTGAAATTCGGGCGTAATCCAAGAATTCGTGCACCCAAGATGGAGTCCGAAGGAGAGTCAGTCATACAGAGAATTAACCGTGAATTGCAGGGAAGGGCCTCCATCGAATTCAGCAAATATAATGGATGATGGCACTAACTGGACAACGCTTTTTGCCAGGTAAACAAAGCAATAGTCCTGTATGGAACACGTGAAGGCGTTGATCTCAGAAAGTGACCACAGTGGAGAACAGATAGCTGAGTGCGTAGAAGTTTGGAGTTCATGGCCGAAGCAGAAAACTCAGAAAAGGAAATAGCTGTTTGTCGAGGATAAGAAAGCAGGTCCCAATTACTAATCGAATGACAAGATATATCTAACAAAATAATTTGCTACTGAAAGTTTGTATCCTATCTTATTTCAAAAGTGATAATCTCATTTGAAACTCTCGGGAGTTTAGTGGGTAGTGATAGCGTTTGTGAAATTGTGAATGAACTGTCTCATTTTTCATCCGAATTTCGTGGAAAAAATTAACTTGGAATAACAAAAGCTGAACTCAAATCTCGTGAAGACACACATGCATTTCTTCTCAAACATGGCGTATCATCTAGTAGCAACAGTCACAACAATAAGTGGTCCCGAACTGATCAACCAGTAACATTTCTTTTTTCGCAGACTCACCTTCACCCATTAAACAAAGAACCCACTATTGCAATATATTCCATGCCCGCCACTTAAAACGTTCTCCGTAATAAAAAAGCCCATATGAAGACTAGATTACAGTGTCGATTAGGCTTAAAGATTTGCATAATCGGTACACTATTCTATCATGTCCAAACTCTTTCATAACATGTCTTTAGCGGTTCAAAATGAAACATCCTCGTGAACAACATTGACATATTCTTACCAGAATCTGTCTTGGTGTGCTCACATGTCGATCCGTCTCCCATATCCGTCTTCATCACCTCATTGTTCTCCTCAACCGACTTCGAATGTACTACAGAATTTTGTGTTGAACAAACTGTTTAATTTGTGTAAGTAAATTTACCTCACTAACTTTAAGTTCACAGACAAAATAAAGTTGAATTAATTGGCTCATTTCTGTCCAATAAAGTACTGCACTCAGAAATATAAAACTGCAGACGTTCCACCTCAAAGTTTGGCCAAACTGTTGATCATTTCCATGAACAAATCCAATGCCAATAATTTTCGTTCAGAGTAACTTAGACAGAAATTCGACATCATATTTTGCAGGTACGAGGTTAGGCTGCGTCACGCGGATCAACTCCCGATTTCAAAACAACAACTCGGATCTCCTACTAAACAGTGTTATTTTTTGCGGATTTCGCATACCCACCAAAGCTTGGGGAATAGAATTGCCAGAATTTCACGGGTAACAAATTGGTCGATATACGGGCGATGCCTTAGCTGGCAATTCTGTACTCTGCAATGAATTTACTATACCTAGGTCTCTTACAGTTTAGTAAGTAGAGGTCTGAAATATAACATTTGATGTAAATTCATGTTTTCATTGTTAGTTTTGTGAGGATCTTTGAACAATGGAATTTTCGTGAAACAAATTCGAGTAACTAAACTAACTGGAGCTTGAAAACCTACATTGACAATCAACCGATTGTGACAATTCGTAAAATTTTGAAGGTAAACATCACCCCAAGGGCTGAAGAAGCGTTGATTTTGTCAGAGATAGTTAGTATTTTTGAAGCTTGTGCCGCACTGAGAAGAAGCTCAAATACCTAATACTGCGTCTCAGTTCATTGGCGGACTAAGACACCGGGAAAATTAGTTCAATTTACTTCAATCCGCTTCGGTTGCTCTGCTCTTTCACTCGATTTAGGATAGGCGAGGACTAGCTGATGGGGTTGCCCATTCCTTCACACGTTTTGTGCGCCCACACAAAGTGATCGAGTCTCGAAATCGTCAGGGGAATTCAAATTGCATCACACAGTTTTGGTTATCGACTGACCCCATGCTATCTATGGAGAGGTCTAAGAAGAACATTAAACCGTGACTCGTGATAAGGAATTGTCCAAGAAACTCAATCTAACCATTTATATGTGATACAATTCGTGTCACAGCGAGTGATATTCCGCGAAGACTACTTACCTGCTCGATAAAAAGTCACATAATGCGCTGAAAGCGCTGGAATACTTTGCAAAATTGGATACGTACTCATCTGTTATAACTTCCCAGACTAGCCAAACTGTGTGCAGTCTACACGCTTTATTTATGCGACTGTTCCCAAACAGCTCAGATTCGATTGCGAAGGACAATATGCTAATAGTGTACGATAAAGTAGTCATTCTATGTGATATGATTCATCATGCACGACAGACACAATTCATCATTGAAAATCTTGGATGCACTGTACAGCTATTTCATCTTTCTTGGGAACCGTCAGCAGTGCACGTTCACCGAGTTACAAATGAGATTTGAAAACAGAGTGATCGATCATGAGCCGAGTGCCTAACCACCAGGCTATAAAGACTGACTTCCAGCGAATTGTAACACATCTATACTACAGGATATTATCACTCTTGAATTACGGGCTCGGAAATTTACGACCCGTTTCCCGCATCTTAAGCCACTCTTAAGATGGATGGACGTTATTGGAAATTGTATTGATCAATATGTTTTTAGCCGGTAGTTATGATTTGTTTCAGACGTGACGATGTAAGTTTGTATGCCTACCAATATATATATACTAATCTAAATTGTGTTTCACACTCCAGTTAAATGTACTAATGATGCACTCCAGGAAGTAAACTAAATGAATTCATCGCGCTTTTTTTGTCACTGACAGGTAATACGATCCCGAATGTTTCTGCACTAGCTGGTCATGAAGTCATGGGTGTAGGTGACATAGGACGTTCATGCCAGTTTGTGTGTTCCGTGCAGGGAATCGAATAGTTCAAAAACCTACGGAGACACCCACATTCCGGTAATTCATTTAGATGAAATACTGTTCTACACAGAATGTATGTACACAATAGCAATGGGATCAAGAACCAACATGCCATTGTCTCATTTTGCTGCGAATTCAGTTTTATCAGGACAAGTATCACAATCCTGTTGGTTGTATTGCAGTTCGGTGTGTTGAGCCTAATTACTGTTTCCGCACGTGTGTATGATTGTATGCGACAGTCACATTCTCCCCCCTCTCTCTCTCTATCTATCTATCTATCTATCTATCTATCTATCTATCTATCTATCTATCTATCTATCTATCTATCTATCTATCTATCTATCTATCTATCTATCTATCTATCTATCTATCTATCTATCTATCTATCTATCTATCTATCTATCTATCTATCTATCTATCTATCTATCTATCTATCTATCTATCTCTTACTTGTGCAGCTGAGTTGCGTACAAGTTGCGTTATTTTGGTCAAGCCAGCCAATGCACCTCTCAACAAGTGCAAAACTGTGAAGGGTATGCATTGTGTACCTCCCGTCTTTTGATCCATACAAACTGTGATGTTTTGATGGTAATTTATCTACTGGAGTCATAACAGTATCAAGTTTTAAGTTCTCAACCTCTAAAGTTTCCTTCCCAGTTCGCAGGAGTAAAATCGAGTTACTCGTTTGCAGAAATATATAGGAATGCCGTCTTTTAATGAGAAAATGTATCAGCTTCGGGGTTTTCAGCTGTTGTACCTGAGGGGTTTATTAGTTCTGGAACTGTGTTTGGCTATGATGGTGTCACGGGAGATGTCAAACTGTGTAAAACCGAGAAGAGGAAGAACATTAGACGAACGGTACTTATGAAATATACTGGATTCAAACTAGGCATAATTTATCAGAACTGTATAACTGATTCACTCGTAGAGTCACATTTTATTGGTCCGACGGAATCATCAACGGCTCTATCGTTCAGTGTAGTCTACTACCGTGCTAATCAACAAGATGTACATTTGGTACTCGAGATTCAGGGTAAACCGAAACTTTCGATACAGTCACCCAACCTAATCCGGTCAAAACAAGATTCCCGGCACGCTGATCTGTGAACTTATCTCACGGGATAGCACTGCATGATATGAGGTTAAAATGTCCCCTGTCAGAAATTGACAACATCAGGACGTTTAGTCCGGGTCGTTATATGTGCAGACAGTGAAACAGGTAGATGATTCCGCGATCACGTGTTTTAAATAATACACAACCTTAGTCAGTTAAAACAATTCCAAACGAGGTTCACCCATTGTTCGAGTTTTTCTAGCTCATGCAGCATCAAGCATATTAAGTGGTAGAACTCGATATTCAATTGATATCCAGAATCGTCAGTGTACACATCCCGTTTGCGAGCGTTATCGGTGATGGACGCTTGCTGATTCGACTGTTGGTTTGAAAGTGGAATGGATGTCACATCGACACCGAAAATCGGTGATTTAGAAGAAAACCGGACAACCTGGATTCGAGTGTCAGGATTTTGTATGTACGGTAAAAAGACTCAGAAGTCACCTCGGTGATATCAATCTATAATATAAACGAGCTCTCTGATTATCGATTATTGACTCGCCGGAGCAAATATCAAAATCTGAATATTTCAGTCAAGGATAGGAATTGGCTTCCTCTGGTAATGGCCCCATCTCCATCATTTTCCGAACAAGAACCAACCAGTGGATTTGTTCTATCAAATTTTTCATTACTAGATTATTACGTCCGGTATTCGAAACTCTATCTGTTTGCCGAAAATCAATGGAATTTTTTCAAATGAACAATCATTCACTGACAACTCAATAAAATACTTACTTATTTTGGCTCAAAATACCCCCATTGGTGATAGCATGCCCGGCCTACTCACTATCTTACTTTGCCCAATGTTCATCGCAAAACTGTTAATAAATAAAATACAAGTATTCAGTTCCTTTTGAAATTCCTTCGTTGGAAACGTGGCCATCTCACCCGTTCTATTGATATTTCCTCTCCTAAGAAAATTCTTTTATTTGATTGCTTTTTTGATCATGCTACATCTCGCTTTTTAGGCTCACAAAGAACATCTCATGGACCAGGCATATTTCACGGCGCTTCATCATAAAGCAACATGAATTCCAGGAAAAATGCAATCCCAAATAATGCTTTTGAAACAGGAAATCATCGATTACGCGAAGAGTGTTGCATACTTGGTCGTGGAACAGGAACGTGATTGTTTGTGATTTTCGTGTAGATTGTACGTTGCATCTCTATCCTTTCCAACTGAGAATGAATCGGTTCGGGTTCTTCTAGAAACGGAAGAAGAACAGTTGCATGAATAAGTGTCGGTAGATCAACACGTTTGTGGTATCGGTAAAATGTTTCTTGGCTAGAAAGAGCACCACCCCTGTGGACTTAGTTAGGATGGGTCAAGAACAATTTCAGTGTTACACTCCATCATTCGGTCGACGCAAGCCACTCGGTGGATCACTATCAAGCATTCCGAGTACTTTATCAGATCCTCCAAAACCGATGGAAGCAGATCCGAATACGCGCACAAGTTGGTGCCGAATTCACAGGAATAACACCGGAACTCTGTTCACAAAAACTATCCACGAACGCCCTCCACCAAACAATAGCGTATGACCACAAAAACACATACATATACCGAATAGATCTTGTTTGTCCTTTCAATATCTCCTAGATTTTCACGTTATAATAAATTTAATGACATAAGGTTTTGGAAAAAATTGTTCGCCAGAATGTGCTAACAACGTATGGGAGTCGAAATCAGTTCGTAGTGTATCGAAAAATCGTTCGGCCACGTGATATTTCATAAATAGGCGTTCGTTGTTCGCTAACGCTTCGTTATGGTGATGAGTCGATGTTTCGGTTATCGCAGGCAACGAACTTCAAGATTATCAGCCGGTCTTGAGGACCATTACTCGCGGTCACCGAAAAGTCAACCAACTATCATTACTTCTTACAACAAAATTACCAAACCCTAAAAGCTTATCTGTGTTATTACCATTTGTAATACTAATATGGGACAACTGAAGTGCTTACAGTAGAATTTATTCAATGGTGCTTGCCTCGCTCACAGTGACTCTCGTGCATTGCTCATCGACGTCAGATTAGGAATTAATTCTTCAGAGAGTACTATTGATGTGGCTTCCCACACATGATTGTCACTTTGTTATTCTTGAGCAGCACTACATGAAAAATCCTCCCCCTATTGAGCAGTTATCTTCTATTAAAACCATTCATCAGAAACAAATGAAATCACCGTAAATGTATGATACGTCAAGGCACAGACGTACACGGGGACGTCAACCACCCTCACGACTAGCGTATTTCATCAAATTTGAAGCGAAAATCTTTCTTGATCAATAGAGCAATCAAAACACAATGACTTAATTTTACATATCACATGCTTTTATATCACTAGAAAGAATTAAAACATAGCCAACGGGCCCCGGTAACTATGACTGTGAACTTGAACATGAATAATACGTGGAACCTGAAGAACCTAGGAGTGATCACGATCCGGGTATCATCGGAGGTGCTTATACATATGGAAGAAGTAGCCTTACTAATTTCACTGTAACCTATTCGACCGAATGAATATCAGAGCCCAATACCGTAAACAGTTGGTCTGTAATTCAAAATTGCTTAGTTGCGCTGATTCTGGTTTATCCTTTTTTAAGCAGTTCAGTAAACTGTAGGTTACTAGTTGCACCAGTGCGAGGACAAACTACGGTCACAATCCAGTTTCCGTGCAATAGCTATTTTTTGTCTCATTACACTAATTTTTGTTATAAGAGTTCATCATCATTCATGGTTTTACTTTCAATTCATGCGTGCACACAAGCCAGGGCAGCAGCAAACGCTCTTATTGAGAAAACACTGCAAAACCGTAAATTGACATGGAAATCGCGGGTCTTGTCATTTAGAAAACCAGAATCCTGTACTAGTGCTATTCGCCCTTTGGTTGTGGTGAGCCGTGAACACAGATGTTACTTTACACAAGGAAATATCTGTTTTCGGGCCCCACTGTTTGCTTTCTAGTTTACCTGACATTTGAAAGGAACAAACGACACGAAACCGCCGAGACGATGAGTCTCGGAATTCCGACCGCAATTTATCAGGCTGTTGTCTGTCCCATTTGAAATCCATATTTTGAAATGTTTTTTTGGAGTACAGAGTATACTGGCTCCACAACCATAAGGACCAACTGCACTATCAAGAACAACTACAACCACGTCCTTGACATTCGCACTGGGAATGTAATGGAACATCGTCTATCACTAAGTTTGACGGGTGTTGGCGAGCTCTAGGCAGCGTCCGTCAAATTCAAAATTAGAAACTTAGTTGTTCTGTCCAAAACATTGAAAATATACGTAGTGCAAAATGTTTTGCTGTCTTTGCCAATATAACTCACCGTCAGCTTCAGCCAACTTCCCTTGTTCTGCGGGATTCTTTTGAGCATTTCCAAACCAACGGTTTCCTTCCCTCCAGAGGCTGGTAGCTAACACAAACAAGAGAACAATCGCAAAGCCATTGTGACCAAATAGTTGACGATATCAATTGTGAAGTAGCCTTCCTGAGGTTTGCCTGTCTAGGAATTCAGCTAAGTCTCTTACTCATGTCAGGTTTTCCTCAAAAATATGCTTGTCTTTGTTTCTTCCCGATAAGTCAGAGTTTTGATCGACGGCGATCATTACTCAGTATTCAATGGAGCATTTATTTTGCTGCATTGGTCAACAAACAGTTAAATCATTTGCCTTTTTCATCCTGAGAATGGTTTTACTTTTCACCTGGGACTGCAGCTACAGAAGCTTGTCTGAATGTCTGTGCGGCGTTCATAAATCTGCCGCCCATCTTCCATCGTAACCCTGCGGACGTGCCTCTTAGATTGCCGAAATACTGTCATGTCTATTTCTGTCTAGAAGAATATTTTTCCGCGGATATATCATGTAGCCTGGCCACGAGAATTCAGTAGTTAGTATGAAAACAAAGTGTGACATACTGAGATGACGGACATCATAGAAGTACTCGTTTTAACTAAATTTCGGCAACCAATATGCTACCAGTAGGCAGAGCACAAATACGTCGATGCAAATAAATCGGCTATGACGTGTTTTTCAATAACCTCCTGATAAACATCACCCAACGTAATTTATTATTCATGTTACTGTCAACAGCCGGTCAAGAGCGATCTCGGGGGAAATGAAAGAGTTCACAAAAATGTCATACAAAAGTAACTTGTGTCACATTATTCCACGGACATTCCGATCGAGCTCTACCTTGGACCCATGCTCTCATGAGCACACGTGTATGCGTGTATCTGTGACAGATCAAATTAAACCAAAAAATGAAGGAATAATACATCAATAATGGACACGGTTCAAATATCTGCAATATGAATTACCCCAAGCAGGCGTTTTCTGATTTTCTTTCGGTCCGATTTGTATTGTCTTTGACGGAACCATGAAATGCGCACGAGCTGCAAGGTGAAGAACCATATGGAACACATTTTCTGAACTTTTTTCTGCAAAACTACGACTGCCTGCAACAAGATTCTTATTTCAGCGCTTTGGATAGAATTGATTAATTATTACTCACACAATGCTGTTATGCTAGGGTGAATGAAGTGGTAGACGTGATTAGAACAGCGTGGAAATGCGGTCATATGCCCATGTTTGTTTTGATATGGCTTGTTATCAAATGACTCTGTGACAGAAATGACACTGGGACTAATAACCGAAATGCGGTGGCGAAGTCTGATCTAATTTCGGTCTATAGTCACATACTGATGCGCCATTCTCAAACGATTTTGACCGCGTCATTTTGAACCACTATGCCAAATGAATCTATATGTTTGAGTAGTAAATATGCTCTCGACATCAACACCCAATTCATCGTGGTGAACCATGGAAGCGTTCACAGTTCAGATCCTGTTTCATCGGGCTTGCGCGGAATCAGCTGAGTAAAGCAATCGCATTGTGACGTGACCGAAACTCGAACCAAGTGTTCATGATTGTAAGTCACACACGGTTTCACCAGGCTATCCGGGATGAACCTTGTCAAGACTGAATGGTGTGGCAAACCTAGCTTCCTCTCAAACTGGTTTCGAACGACAACAACCCATCATTCGTATAGCGATACAGATGATCTTCTCAGCAGGAGCCTCTGGGAAATGTATGCATTAGATTATAAACAACCCAGAGAGTTTAATTACCGGTATGTTATTTCTGTCGTAAAGTAAACCGCAAACTCAGAACGCCTGTGAGCAATGCGTGTGTGTGACTCACAATCGTGCAGCTTGAGTATGCGTCCAAGTGAGGACTCGGTGGATGTACACTGCACTGATGATGACTGTTCACAATGTTAGGACACCCGTATACTGCTTGAATGGTTTCTAGAGATGTTTTGGGAGTCGACGTGCAGTGTTTATAGCCTCAGTTGTTGTGAATACTGATTATCCTTTCCATGGGTGACTGATGATGTCAGTTCTACTGATGATGAGATATTTTTACGACCGAAAAACGCCTGGCTCTGTTTTCTTATGAAACCCGGTAATTATTGAGTAGATCCCTCTGCCTTCGAACCATCACAGATTTTAAGCATAAACTACAATCTTTAGCACATGATGTTCGTCCTCGTGACTCGTTCTTCCACAAAAACACATTGGCCCGTCTGGTGTGGGAGGCCAAGCCTTTTCACTGGCTAGTGTAGCAAATAAACATCACTCGACAGGACTCATCTCTCAGTCTATCGATCCGCTGTCCTGTCGTTCATGATTCTACTGTCTCACGCCCCGACGTCGATACTAGATAGGCTCTGCTTGCGCATCCATTGACTCACTGTGGCGGTGTTGCTCTTCCAGGCAGAACTCGCTGCTTCTTGGCTAAAATTCAACCACTACCCTCCCACACAAAAATCAGCCAGCCATGGGAACGGTCGCTGCGAGAAGCGAACAAAACCAATGTTAAAAACCATTATTAACTAATCATTGTGGCAACAGGACTTATCTCTTTGGACATAAAATACTTTATTTGTTCGAGGTCTCTTTCAAGGAGTAAATGTTCAAAGAACAATTCGTCATCAGAAAATCGGTGAAACTCACCTAAATCACCCAGGAAAAGTAAAATGCACACGACAATGATTCGTTCACACATTTCTGATAGATGACAGAAAACAATATTCACAAAGAGGCTTGCTTATATAGTATCCATCCTTTTCAAACGCCTCACCTGACGAGCACACATCATATGCCCGAATATGGGGAAGAATGTGAATTTTTGTCTTCACAATAGAAGGTCACGCGTAAGTCTGCCATTCATTTTTGGGTTGTCTCTCATTGTTTTCGGCCCTAAATGGCATCTAGAAAGAGCTTGTTTTGATCATCAGAAAAGTTTCTTCAAAAATGAAGTATTACAGTAGATCATAATTATATGGTAGTTTCCACAAACCTTTTAATTGTTTAACAGTTTCAAATCGGTATAGTATATTGTCAAAAAAGTCGTGAAAAGTGAGTCATCACCGTAAACTGCGAACAATGAAACCCAAGTCAGATAAAGGCAGGTCACGCATTTTATCCGCTCTAATCCGATTTCATTCGAAATTTGAGCTGTTTAATCTCTGATGGATTCATATGACTGGTAACTAGAATTCACTGAACCACTAAACAGTTTGTCATTCGACCTGCGAGAAATCGTCGACCGGCGGTGATCAAGCGCTAATCATGTTACGGTCTTCTGAACCTTCTGTCCTAGATACGAATGCTCGAGCAACAGAGGGTCACTAATTCAGTGGGCAACTCTTGATTGGCCACAAACCCCTTCCCGAATAATGTGCTACTATTACATAATAGAAAGAAGTGAACAAAATAGTGAAAGAGCATTCGTGTTGTTTTAAGTGGAAAACGGTAATCAGTATTGTGGGTTCTGAAATATGAGCGTTTCGTCTTCCGGCCAGTTTCCTAACTATTGTATTCACGCGACTTGGCACCCATTTGTCTTCAGCTTCGGATGCATACATCAGACTGGCTGCGCATTGTCCCATTCACATATCAGTTTGTTCTCAGTGAGCGCCTTAGAGAAACGAGCTTGAGTGATCTATTTGTCTCCTCAACCGGAGAATCAACGTTTCTGTGGAAAGGCCAGCACTACTATTTTTGCCTGATATATCAGACAAAACGGTGTTGGGACCTATTCCGCAAAATACTGGTACCTCATACCACTCATGTTCTATTTACTTCATTTTCAGTTAATGAACAATCTACTCTATTTTCATCCACTGTTCCTCATCTATGAAGGAAATTGATGACAGACAAAATGTAATATCCTAGTACTGGATTTTACTCAACTCAACTGTCAATGGAATGACCAAACATTACTCCATGTCTTGGCAGTAGCATTGAGTACAACCTGGCGTACAGGTTTCAAGCCGAAAATCATAGCCAAGTGGGAATAATTCGAGAGGAAATTCTGATTTACGCATAAATCTGATTCACACCCAGTTAACTAGGGAACGAGAAAGTTCTTATCATTCATCGTATCTGACACATGGTTAATTCGAACTGCTGACCATCAGGATACCGTATAATGTTGATCTACCGTGGGATCTAGCCAATTTCGATTTCACACACACTCAAAGAAGTTGAACTAGCATTCTAAAACAGATGATTACTAACAGCCGTGGAAGGTCGTGAGCAATCAATAGAGTTACACTTGAAGTTGCAATAAAAATAGAGAATACTTAAAGAAGTCGGCAAAGAACATCATTACCAAAAGGATATGACTGATGGAACAATGAAGATAATCGCAATGGGGCAAAATGCGTCTAACCACAAGGAATACAACCATGCACCAGTCTATCGAAACCATAAGATTTCTATCAAATTGAAAAGTGAAACTCAAAATGGATGAACGATGAAATGATTATGACTGCTACCTCATTGGTCAAATTGGGAAAGCGGTTCCCAAGCGAATGCACCAAGGCAAACTGTCTACAAGAATACATCACCTAATCTGCCTATAAAAATCAAAAAGAGACATACTTCTAATTTGGATCTAAAAAGTGACTAATTGATCGTCTTCCCAACAGCCTTAATCATTGATTTTTAAATCTACTTTTGAAATGTCCTTGGTTAACGACGCTCATCCTTCCAATAATAAGCAAATCCAAACAGCTTCAAATGTCAAATGATTCATCTGACCTTCCGTGAACTACATGTTATGATAACAGTGTTCAAACGTACATACACGAGTGCAACATTTGCTACCAGTCACTGCAGAACGGCTTGCTAGCTTTCTCTAGCACATGAGCAAGCGACGATTTCTGTCGGTTTGTGGGCTTGCGATACGATCGTTGTGTTTGCTCTAAGGGGTTGTTCACCTTTCAAGGGTCTCAGCAGTGAAATCATTCGGGACCGGACTGTGTGTACACAGGAAGCAGATGAATGGTCGTCCGAAATAGGCTCCATAGGAGAAGCACTGTTTACGGATTCAAATTTGTAGTCGGACTGTTAATGTCCGTTTGGTTTGTTTCTCAAATAAAACCTATCGAATACATTTCATAGGGTATGGGCTATTATGTGACCAGCCTATGACTTGAAAGAAGTGTAGTGGAAGCCGAACCAGTGCAGCTGGTCATTTAGGGAAAACCGTACTGTCACGGTAGGTTGGACAAGGTCCACACAGTCAGTGACTACGGGGAGAAAGATAAAACTACGCGTCATATCTAGTTGCCCTCTTGCAATTACACGCCTCAGTCAACGAACTGATGCAATTACCCGTATACTACAACCTATCTGATGAAACCGATGACTGTTTTGATCGCCAACTTGGCTTTCCGACAAGGAGTGGCAATTGGGACCACCGTAATCAACGAAACAGTAGTGATTGTTACATCTGAATTTGATTAACGGAACACTGTCACATTGGGAGAGACCATTGTAAGTATATAATCAAAAACTACAAACGTGCGAGCGGTAGATAATGCGCCAAAATTTGACATATCACTGGGCAAATAATGCACAAAGTACAGACTTCCTCAAGTAAACCCTTCGTGAGACTGCAGATTAGACCAACAGACCCTGGTAATTTATCTTGAGTGAGGTCACATTAGTTAGCACATCACTACCAGAGATGCCAGAATACGGCGCTAACCTATGCCAATCCAATGCAATTAGTAAATCCCGATATCGCTGGTCATCTTTTCAAAGAGGATACTGATGTAACGGTAGGTGCTCACTTGACAACCCAGTCAGAGAAAGAACACAAGCCTCTGGTCTAAAACAGTGTAATATCTCTTTGCAGAGCGGTTTCTAAAAAGCAAGGCGATGAGCGTACAAATCGATAAAACACATGATTGGATGACGCATGCGAAAGTGACACAAAGGCTTGCCAACCACGTTCGACCTAATGAGCGTGGACGGACATCAGCTGCGGCGTGAATCGGACTGGTTTGCGGTCTCACCATAGAAACCCAGAGCAGAGAGCTTGGCTGAAGCCAAAATAAAACTACTAATGTTGTTAGCAGTTGTCAAAACAGAAATTCGAATCTACAGAGATAAAGCTGTTAGGTTAGTTCTATATTGTTGGCAAACGTATTCGATTTGTGAAAATTTTCGGAACTTTCGAAAATGTAATTTGAAAAAGCATCAAAAGGGATAACGAAAAGAACTGTGTAAAGATAGTCGATTTGTTTTTTGAGTGTTTTTAATGAACGTGTGCATAGAAATTTTACCCTACAATCACTTCCGTCTGACCTTCGTTCCTCTCACCAGTCCCAGTCTCAGTCTGGTTTCTTTTATTTTCTCTGTCGCGTTTTCCTACATGATAATTGTGTGATGAAAGAAAGTAGAATATTCGTTGAATTGTATTGTTCAGGTGAACTTGATCATTATGTGTTATGCCGATTTGGTAATACGGGATACGGATTCACCGTGCAGAACACAGGTTCTCTATCAGTCAATCAATTCGTTCCAGCAGGTTATGAATTCCTTGCTGGAGTTTGATGGGTCTGGACCTTTGTGAAAAAAGAACTGTCTCTATGGGGTTAGGACAAGTCAAGTGGTTCTACAGAATACTCTTAAGAAGTAAGAACGAAAACTACGGTGAAACTCGGAGGGTGCCACCCGTAACCCAAACGACTGTTAGGGAATGGTTGCAATGTTTCGGAGTATGAACAAAATACTTCGAAAACGGAGACAGATAACAGTTAAGGCTAATTATCAGAATCAGTGATGAGAAATTTACCAGACAACAATGCACAGGGGGCTTACAAAACTCAGGAATGTTGGCTATTGTACGAATACCTGTGGGCTGTCTGTTGTCAATCCTTTCTCGGATCACATACCTAAAACAAGTATACACTGCTCTCACTTCTTGAGAGTATTCTGTAGAACCACTTGACGTTTGTGAATGCAGCTCTTGAGTAGGAACTGCGAATTGCTGAAGTCTCACATCTGCCGTTACTTCGTTTTCTGGTCGCTTTTGTCGATAGACAACAGAAGAAACATTCTCGAACATGAGTCTGAATGCATTCGTTGAGCGCGCCAGAATTTGAGACAAGCATTTCGACAAACTGCTTCGAAATTCCCACCACTGCATCATTTTATTCTAGTATCTTTCCAATGTCTGATCTTCAATGTTGATATAAAGCTTCACAAAATTCTCATAGATTGTGGGGAAACCAGCGGAAATCCACAGTGACTTATCAGAAGTTGAACATTGTTCCAAGACCGATTGAGATTCGGTTTGTATCGTATATAAGATGCTCCATTACACTTACTATTTCAAATGCTAACGGATTTGACAGTTATATTCAAGGAATAACACCAGAAGCCTAGTACGACCCTGATGCATAAATCGCGCTCGTCCATCCGTGGTCACCTACTTGTCTGTATCGCATCTAAACTCATCACAAATTCGAGCTGACAATGTTGATGAGGGAAGCTCGGTGAAAATTTAACTGCGTTTCATTTAAACAGCCATGTATGACAAGTAATTGAGATCGGAACCCTTATCGACGGCACTTGTTTGCTTAGTGTATTGGATTATTCTTATGAAAGATCGCAATTCCGGAGAATTTGCACTCCAGTATAGTAACGAACTTTGGAAACCAACAATGGCTATATTGACCGGAATGTTGATCGCCATTTGGCTCGTGAAAATTACTTTTGCAATTCACTAGAAAATGCACGAGTGATCATAATGCGCCATACATTTCACCCACTGGTTCCAAATCGAGAGATTTTCGAATCCTTTGTTTTGTCCGTAGGTGAGCCAAAATACACACTGGAAAAATGGTTTTGTAGACATGGTCAAAATCTCGCGGGCTTATGTAAAACGGATAAGGGGATGCGTTGTTTGACAAAGTCAACTAAAGCTCCACTGCGAGGACAAAATTTCAAATTGGTTCGAATTGTGTGAATAGTCTACTGATTACAACTCTATAAAAATCAACTTGAATGTCGGGCATATTTTTCATTCAGGATGTCGTGCTCTACCAGTAGCTCAATCTCTATTTATCATAAAACACACAGAGATGTCTTGTTCCCATACAGAAAACATACAACTGAGATATAGTTGAGAGCTTGTTCTTCCTTCGACTTCTAGATCATGTACACATTGGAAACATTCTTGGGTGCTCACATACTTCCCCTTTAATCCACAAACTTTCACATGCAGCTTTTTTGCTCAGAAGACAAAACCGATGTTCGTGATTGAACAATGATGAATTTTAAGGGTACTGTCAAATGTAGGCGACAAATGAAAACCATCTCGTCAATCTACGTTCACCACTCCATGTAGCCAACGAGACAGATGTCATGATTGGTGGACGTCTACCAGACCACAAATCGATGGATATTTCTTGATACACTTCCTCAGCCACATGTAGTGTGTTTCACGCTGTTCACTATAACGGGACACAACACGTCGTTTTTCGACAACAAGAGCGGAACCGTTAACAGAAAGAAAGGAGGCGGTTCTGTGTTTGTTCATCGTCCGAGAGAAATGAGGAAGTTTAGCTTGTAGGACCAATGTCGACCTGGATGAAACAGAGAACCCGCTGTTCTTCTTCCGGAGAATTAACAGGATAGAAATCAAGTTTTGTTTGATCTTACTAAAAGTGAGATGAATCTAGGCATTATCCGGTGGTCTTGAAATTCTCAATAATTTGCTCATAAAGTAATCGATCATATAAACGCATAACCACACCACTATTTATTCATGTAGCACAGAAAGTTATAAATGTGTAAGATACATTCAATTCACACATGGAAAACGTTATTTCGGTGGGCCGTACAGCCTAGGAATCGTCGTCCCAGTTGATCGTATCTTTTCAAAGGTTACCGCATCGATCATACCTTTCTGTTTCAATGATTTCACTCTCGTAAAAATTGACTTTTCTATCGGAATCGTCCTGTCTTTTTCAGTTGGAATCTTTGTTAATTTGGCAACCTCATTCAATGTCGTCTTCATCTTCTCTATATAATCCGATTTATTATGGATTACAATACCCGATTCTTTTATCTGGTCTTAACAACACTGTTTCTCAGTTAGCCTGCAATTCGTTGAGACAGTTCAGATACTCCTACGGTAATAATCCTTTCGTCGACGGTTTATTTTCACGATATTAATCACACGCGTTCACAAGTGTGGATTTGAGCTTCTCTAACCCCTGTGAGGAGGACGGAACGAGACCGGATAGTGGATCAAATAGACTCTCAAACTCAACCTCCATGTCCAATTTTTTTAGTTTTACTGGTTGGACAGCAAAATTTTGGTCCTAACGACAGCATCTCAACTAATGTCGTATCCAGACTTACAGACGAAAAGTTATGGACCATTCGTTTCGGATCTGAAGGGAACTCACCATTCGGTTTGGTAGAGTTGACGCGTTTTCGTAGTTTGGCACATACCTACTCGACTTGCCCGTCAACTATTGACTGAACATAGGCAACGAACTTATCATTTTCTTCTGGGGTCAGCTCGTCAAACACTTCACACGACTTCACAAAATCACGCTCCATTTCTGGCACGCGACTTAATATGGCTGTTGCTGTTGTGTTTGTAGTTCAATGTGAATAGTGTATTGCCTTCTGAAACAAGCTTAAATGCGGTCCCGTGCAAAGCAAAAATCGAATAGTGCACTCCGTTTGCAAACTGCACCAGTCACCTGTAGCATCACATGAAAACGGCTCCGATTATCTGAGGGTAATCCAGGGTTTCAGTTGGAAAACCATTTCTATAGTTTTCCGTTCAGTAGAAATCTTTATTCAAAATGATTACATTCGTGAAAATTATCACCAGCATGTGTGAGTGATGAAGTCGTCAGACCCTCACTAGAAATGCCGAAAAATATCAGATTCGAGCATTGAACAATAAACACTGGTCGTGAAAATTCTGTGATAAACTCTTGACCGTTTCTCCCAAGCTGAGGCTTGATGGCTTCTTTGGTAGAATGGAATTCGTGTAGTGACCATGAAGGACAAATTCGAGTTTACAGAAGTGAGACTGGACTTTTCATGCATCATCGTATGATGCGAGATTCAAAGAGGAAATATCTTCGCACACATTTCACCACCAATGCAAATTGGCTGGTTCATGCATATCAAGCTGAAACGGAGTAATGCTAACACTGATGTGCTGATCCGTGGACAGTGAACTACCAGCCACGGAAGTCCAACCAATTGATGAATTGGACAATTCGCTCTTGAGGGCCTGCATCAGTTTTGGAAATTGTTGCAACACTTGCTTTAAAGCAGCACGTTCATCAATCACCTAAACTGAGATGCCTTGAGAATACCTTGTTTTCTTCACGGGTTAATTGCCTTCGAGTCAATGGTGCCTCTGTCACTCCAATGTTCTTCGGACAATAACAATCATTGTTGCACTGTGTGAATTGGTTTTGGTGGTAAACTCATAGGTCATTTGCAATGCAAACAATGAATCACATATTCCGATGGCAAACTGCAGTAGTCACATGCAGCACCATAATGAAAACGGGTCCAATTTACTCAAGCATAAACTGGGACTTCGATGGGAAACCATTTGGAGAGTTGGCTTCAGTTGTCACTGTAGGATGTCGTTCCGTGAGAGTGAGCACATTCATAGTTGGGGGTGATTTTCTGTCCATCATCGGTTTAGCTGGAAATGCCGGTTCCGTCAGTCGACCAACAGATCATACTTAGATAGTTATTGTTCCGAACAACGCATAGGAATCGATGCATTGTGGTTTGATATGAAAGCATTTATTGGC